TTCTCCCCACATCTGCTGGGCAGGATGACCCCGAGTCTCGACAGGTCCAACGCCTCGGCCAAGGGTCACTGGTGACCTTGGGGTCAGGCTTTGTGCCCAGCTCCCTGCCCGGGCCCTCCCAGGCGTCAGCAGGTGAGTCCTGGGGAGGCAGGGAGGTGGGCGTAAAGCCAGTGGTCAGCATGGCCAGACTGGGAGAGCCTGTGGCCTGGGGGGAAGGAGGGACCCTTGAATGTCTGAGGTAAAGGAGAGGGGTGCAGCCCGGTGGATTCAGCCTGCCAGCCTGTTTTTGCTTTGCACCATTAAAGGGTTGAAGACAAATGAGGAAGAGCAGCTTTAGGGACACAGGAGGGGGCCATGCAGGGCGGGGCTGTGTGTCCACGGTGCCCAGAGCTCCCTCCTTCCTTCCCCCCTCCCTCCTTCCTTCCCCCTCCCTCCTTCCTTCCCCCTCCCTCCTTCCTTCCTTCCTTCCTTCCTTTTTCCTCTCTCTCTCTCTCTCTCTCTCTCTTTCTCTTCTCTAATACACATGTGCTCTTGTTTACTTCAGTTCTCATTTATCTGCATGTATCTTTATTTAACCCTCATTTTTTAAGGACGTAGTCACTAGATATAGATGGATATAATACATAAGATGGCTATGAGATGCCCCAAGGGGTCTCCTGTATTCTAGATATATTCCTCCTTACCTCCATTGTATAGTAGCAACTCTGTTTCCCCTGGGTAGTCAGGATTAGTTACCCCAGCCAGTACATTAACCTTCTTCCTTACATATTGATTCAGAGGCATGCGGAGCCCTAAGGTCAGCATGGCCAGACTGGGAGAGCCTGTGGCCTGGGGGGAAGGAGGGACCCTTGAATGTCTGAGGTAAAGGAGAGGGGTGCAGCCCGGTGGATTCAGCCTGCCAGCCTGTTTTTGCTTTGCACCATTAAAGGGTTGAAGACAAATGAGGAAGAGCAGCTTTAGGGACACAGGAGGGGGCCATGCAGGGCGGGGCTGTGTGTCCACTTCTTCCTTCCTCCTTCCCTTCCTTCCCCCCTCCCTCCTTCCTTCCCTCCTCCCTCCTTCTTTCCCCATCAGCTGACCTGCTAGGACAGAGATGGTGTGACTAGCACCGCCTGACACATGTGCTCTCTGGCCCTTTGCAGAACACATCTGCCCTCGTCCTCTCCCTGTACCCTCCTGACCCCAGACCCACGGGGGACATGAGCTCCCGCTGCACCCGGCCCACCTCCCGTCTGCGGGGCCCTCTGCCAGTGTGCGCAGGGCAGATGGATTCCATATGCCTGGCTGTGTCTCCCAGAGTGTTAGAATCGGATGAAATAACGATCCCTTCCAACCCTGACAGTCTGTGATTCACTCGGAGTTCCAGGATGTCTCTTTATCCTTCGAGGTTTTTACAAGGTTCTCAGAAGCCTGGGAGGCGCCGGCTGCCAGCCCTCTGCCTTCCGCCAGGCTCTCTCCCCCTCTCCCGCCCTCTCTCTGCCTGCGGCAGGAAGGGGGTGTCTCCATGCTCCCCTCCCTCCCTTTTGGGGTCACTTTCGGGGGCTCTGAGCTGGCGGCTGGCCGAGGGCTGGCTGGTGGTGGCCACGCAGCTTAGCTCCCGCTCTGGGACTGTTCCGCTGAGTGAAGTGTCGACGCTTGGCCTCCCTCCCGGGGGATTCAACGATCTGAGTGAAGGGTGCCATTTCTGCTGTTCCCCCTGGAAGAGGGAGCTGTGGGCAGAAGTCCCAGGTGGGGAGTTGGGTCGTCCAGGAAGGAATCTCGGTGTCCGGGCAGGAGGGAGATGCCCACCCAGCTGGCCCAGCATCCCTTGTGAGAGGCGGGTGGGCCCGGGCCTGGGCAAGCAGCCCGCTGCCCTTCAGCCCAGGACACTCCCATGTCTCTCTCTCAGCACCGGGTGGGAGGGACGCCCAGGCCTTCCCCTCGCCGAGGCCCAGGCCCCCCCTCAGCCCTCACCCTGGGAGGCCCAGGGAATGATGGCCAAAGAGGCGTGGCCTCTGCCTTGACTTCCGAAGCCTCCGACCTGCGCTGTCCCTCCTGACAGACGCCCGGGGCTGAGCCGTGGGGACAGCAGCTGGGCGGAGCAGAGGCTCTGCCTCCTGAATTTACTGGTTGGTGGTCTGTTTGCTGACTGCCTGGGCCCTTCTCATCTGCTGGGGTGACTCTTGGTGGCAAAACCCGATGGCAGTGAGCGTTGCGGGGCGGGGGGATTCACTGATGCTCATGCCTGGAGAGCAGAGGCAGAGCTGACCGGTGCCAGAAGCGCCCGTGGCCTCACTCGGTGCACATCCTGGAAACTTCGTGTTGAGTGACACGGTGTACGGATGGGAAAGCGCACACGTCAGGAGTGAGCGCCACTCACCGACCGCACTCGGTCAGCGTCCAGACCGGCACAGACCCGAGTCCCCTCCCAGCTCTGCCCTTGGCCCCGACCTCGTCCTGCGGTGGCAGCGGCTGCCCCGCGTCCGTCCGCCAGGTCCGGCTGGTCTGTTCTGCTCTGTGTGAGAGGGTTGCCCACGTCGTCCTGCGTGCAGACCTTCCCTCACTGACACACGGTCCTCTGTTGGAGGAC